ACTAAATGGTATAGTTGTCTACGAGCTCACGAGCATGGTATGTACTTTGTTCCTTCGATCGTGAAGATTTGATGGGTTTCTATGTGTCCGTACGTTTATGGAAAATGGGAAGGCCAAGGGACTTTGGACATGTGGCAGGATTGAAAGGTTGGGCTGAGATGGTTGTTGGCCAAACATGCCAACAAAGCCCCCAAAAATACCACAGACGAAAATCCGCCAATCGTTTTTCACGTACGTTTTCTACCGGCGGACATTATGGGTTAAATTTGCCCAAATTTTTGGTTTTAACCTAAATTTATTTTAGGCCCAACTATTAGAGAAGAGTTTGATTAGTTAAAAACCTAAATTTTAGGTTTTAACTTAAGAGTTAGAGATGGTTAAAAGTTTGTTCTTAAGATGTTTGATAAATATTTTTTTTTAGTTTCTCATTTTTATGAAAATAAAAAAAATTATTTGATTACTTTCAACTTTCAAAATAATAAAAAACTAAAATCTAATTAATTGAGCTTTCAAATTTTGTCTTTTAGTTTTCAACTGAAATTGGGTGAAAAAATAATGGAGAGAAGATTTGGTTCTATATAGAATATTTGGAAAAAGAAAAAAGATATATAAAAATAATTCTGCATGCGTGATCAATTGTGATGATGATGTAGAACACAGCCAAGAAGAATAGACAAAACAATGCTTTGACCCAAAAGAAAATGACAAGTAATGGTGGTCGATCTCATGTCTGAGAGACTCACAGAAACTCCACATGCATAATTCCCATCCCAGCCAAGCCAAGCTAAAGCTAATATATAGTCAATGTCCTGAATTTATCTTAAGATTACGTCATCTCACCTTACATGACGCTCACACGAACAAATATTCACGATTGTTTAAAGCGGGTATATCAATTCTCCAATTTCCTCGTAAATTTATCGGAAATTTTGATATAGGCGCTAAATCTTTTAATTTATTAGACTAAATATCCCTAGTTTTTGGTCAATACTCATATGAAGGTAAAGGCACCAATTCAACCATTTTTTTTAGTACATCGATATTTTTACACTAAAAGAAATGAGAATTCGGCTAAGCTGTACATTGGATAGCCTAATTTGGTATCAAGTTCACCATCTACGAGATTCAAACCTAAGACCTCTCACTTCCGAGTGCAGAGGAATACCACCAGACCGTAATATTGAGTGATACCAATTCAACGTATTAAGACCAATAATAAACGTACCAATAATGTGTACAAAATAGTACTCTAATAAATGCACACAAAGTGCCGCTTAGTATTAAGGTGTTATAATAGTATTTCTCTTTACTTGTGAGTAAGAAGTCTTATATTTGATTATTGCTAAACCATTGTAAGGTTAAGCCAATATGTCTCCTTAGTGTAAATAATATTGTTTGTTAAAAAAAAAAAATGTGCGGGTAATTTTAAAAACTATAAAACCCCGTTGCATGACAGCTTGAGTTCAAATTCCGTTGGTTGTTAATCTAACAAAACCTATCATTTGACAAAAAAAAAAAAAACAAAAACTATAAATATCACCCCTACGAAAAAAATAAACAAGAAATAATTGAACAAAAAACCAAGATTATCTCCTCATAAAAAGAGTCCACAATTCTTAAAATACATTTAAAATTGGCAGAATAAAAAAAAATCTCTCTCAACTGATTAAAAGGATAAATTAGGAAATCAATATGTAAACTTTAATTAATTACAATAATAATTTTTAATTTGATAAATTAGAAAATGTTGATGTTGCCTAATGTACCTAAGCAACCGCCAGGGGGTGGTTCATTGGTTGGCGGAATTCCAAGCATGTATTCTACACGGCACATCCTAAGTTTGATTTTTGACGCTTGTGAATCTCACAATAGTTGCCAGAAAGAGGTTGGAAACTATTATCACTAATTTGGGGATTTTTTTTTTCCGACAAACATATAATTGTTACTTGATGAACCGATTTTAGGATATGTCAAGGAATTTGTTTTTCAATACAATTACACACACACGCGTGCACACGCGCGCGCGCGCGCACACACACACACACACATATATATATATATAAACTAAAACATTGAAGATTAGATTAAGTCATATAATGTACTAATCATAATAATTAGTATCGAACTCGTTATCCATGAGAGTCATACCTAAGGCCTTCCACTCATAAGCACTAGACAAGATGTTAGACATTTTTTTATATTATATATATTTTTTAATAAACGATATTATCTATACGAGGGGGAATGTTTGCCTCACAATGTGCTATCATAACGTGGTTCAAATTTATTTTTGTGAAAATCGAACTAAAACCTTTCACTTACCGATGTTAGAAAATATTAGAAAAAAAGATGTGGTTTTTTGTACCGTAAAAGCAGAAGGGTGATAGTAAGCTACGAATTATATGCTTATGGTCATTCAACTAGATAACTTACAAACTAGATAAATTACAAACAAAAATAAGGGGGAATTTTCATTTAGGCCTAAGAATATTTTTTTGAGTATTGATTTTCACATACCTCTTTTAACCTTACACACACTCTTTGTAAAATAGCAAATTACCATTAAAAAAGGTGAAAGACGAAATAAAAGTTCTATTGATTGAGCTCGGCCTCTCCCACTCTAAATTATATAATGAGTTATCTTCCCTAATCTTTGGTGCTCGATATGTTGTGGATCTACCAATCTCGAACGCTATGTTTCGTTTTAATGTCTCTAATTCTTTGGTCTCCAATGTTAAAGAAAGCTCAAGGAGGAATTGGAATAAGTTAGCGATACTAATGGTAAACAATCTTGCAAGGCCATGTAGGTTTTCGACGCGATTCAGCAAGAAATTATGCATCTTTTGGATCCATTTTTGGTGATATTAATGGTAAATTTTCCAATGTTATGTAACTCGCCGTCATTTTTTAAAAGTTGGTGGTACATACACCAATTTATGCATTAATTTGTGTATCAAATAATGTGGCACATTCTATACTATATAAATTTGTATTACAATTATTAAACAAATTTCAACTTGAACTAAAGTACAAATTTGATTGGTGCTACCTAGTATTATTCTTTTTAAAATATGTTTTGAAACCAAACCTCTTAGAGGATGAGGGATATTGAAATGTGTTGTCTTAGTTGTTTTTCATTGTAATTTTAAGAGATTGTTTTATTTGTATTGCTTGTGCAAAAGACTTTTTTTTTAATCACGGCGTGCTGCAAACAACCGAAATGAGGAGTTCTATTTTATGTTTTACTTTTGTATTTTTTAAGAGACTAAACAATTGGATGGCCAAATTAACGACTGAAAAAATATTTTGACTTTCATCTTTAGTTCAAGTTCATGTGAAACAGTGGCTGTGTTTCAATTTGCATGGCTCACAATCCTTTATAAATTAAAAATAGGAAAAAATATCAACAGTAACCACCCTATCCCATAATTTTCATCTAATAACTTGTCAATGTCATATGTCTGTGAGATCTTAAATCAATGTGTGTGTGTATTGTAAGTAACCTTGTATGAACACAGAGAGAACCTTGCAGAGAAAGAAGGAGAGAGAACTAACTTTCTTTGATATATTTCTTAATGATTAAGTAATACTTTTAGGCTATTTAAACATACTTTACTACAAGAGTAACTAACTAACTAACACTACAAAAAATATGGACACTGCACACAATAAATTATATGTGCCCTTTGAGGCCAAAGAGCACCAAGACATGTGCCCATAGACCAATAGCAACAGTGCAGCTACTAAGTTTTTATCTGTGCCCTCTATGGGCGTCACCATTGCTAAAATGGCACAATACACTGTTTGGTGCTCAAAGATGCAGGCACAAATGGACCATTATTTGTGCCTGTTTCTGACAACTTTATCAGAAGACCTTTTCCAGCCATATTGACACTTATATTATAATTGTGCCAACAAGAATTAAATATTAAAAAAAAATCAAAATTGAAAAAACTGAAACTGAATTGAGGTAATTATTATTATTTTTTTAAATTTTCATAAAATGTAGAAAGCCTACAACACATTCTCAATCTCAGAAACATATATTGTAATGTTACATATTTCATCTCTAATGCAAAAAGAACTTGAAAGCAGACATTTTTGGACAAATGCATCTTCCCCAGCAAGCCTTGCACCTCATCAGAAGCCAAAACAAATATAGTCGACTTCAAAACAAAATAAGTCCAAAATTACACCTAAAAAGGAGTTGGTTAAAATCAATACGTAAGAGTTCCAGATCTGCCATATCAAAGATTCACCTCTTTTTCCAACTTGGTGGATGGTGCAATCACATCCCCTTGAAATCCAAATGAAAGTGAAAATGAAATTAAAAAAATAAAAAAAGAAAGGACCTATTTCCAGTCATGTTCAATGACCAAAACTTTCAATCGGCATTAAGAACTCAATAGCAGTGATGCATTGCTACTTTGTTATACCAAATTATAGTGAACAAAATATGCAACTAAATTAAGCAGCAAAACCATCATTACCAGCAAACAAGATGTACAAAACAATAAAAGTTTGGACAATCATTGTTATGACATTAATTTCTAAGAAAGATAGAAACTGCTAAGAACCTTATAGGCTCTACAACGCACAAGCTAATAAATAAGTATTTTCAAATCTAATTTTTAGCTTTAGTGAAGTCTTCCATGTTTCCATACGGAAAGATAAGATTCATGGAGCTGTTTAGTTTCTTAAGACTGCACGTTTCCTCACTGTTCAGTCTCTCCTAAGAGCAACCTAAACACTTAACTACAACTAAAAACTTGCAACAAAGCCCTCAAGTGGGTACTTGTAGGCTGTACCAATGTAATATATAGTCCATCCCTCTAAAATCCTTCCCCACTATTAGTTGTGTATAAACAGTTAAGAAGCTACAACATAACAATAGCATATGTTCATTTCTAACAATAAAATCATCCAGTAAGAAACGTACTCCTTATTAGACATCGTAGTGTTTTAGGGAGTGAAAACTCAAATCCGATCTTCACCTTTTATTATCAACATAATGTGATCATCAAGAAGTTAAATGAAGATAACAAATTAAATTTATGTTCATTTGCTAATAATGAAACAAGTAACAAACATACTTCATAAGTGACGTTTATTTGCCCCAATTGTCAAAACCACAACTCTCCTGCAAGGCATCAAACAAGAAACCTCTTTTCCTTGAAAGTGAAAATAGTTAGGAATAAAAAGGAAAAATTGACGGGCATGGTAACAATACAAGAAATCAATACAATGCAATGAGACAAATCCGACAAAATTCACACCGAATGCCACATGAATTTTAGTTATGGAGATTTTGAGAAAGACTGAAAATTCATCATAATGAAAATCTGCTTATCAATGAGAGTGCACAACATTGTAACATTAGATTCAGAAAATGGGTTTAATTGGTTTTGATAGGAAGCATTGTAAGTTAATCCCAAACATTTAATTCATGCTTCCAAAATTAACAAATTCTACAATTGCAAGAGAAACCCTACTTAAATATCTTAAATGCCAAAACCAAAAACTGCCCTTATCTGCTGGAAGATAAGATCCTACCATCTTCTCTATATTCTCCACCACAATTACATTCTCGTATCTGCATTACCAAACACATAAAAACAGGGCAATCAACTCTCCATCCAAGAAAACAATACAACATTGTTATGACATTATCTTTCCATTTGCTCCACAGATGAACTAATCTGGATGATATATGCAGCATTTGGACCTCTCATTGCCAAAGTCATGACTAGTATTAAAAAATTAAAACCATCGATCTAATTCATTAAATTTAATCAACAAACAGAACACACAAATGTAGAACTACAAAAATTGATAGAACAAGAGAGACAGGGAGGTACATGAAAATTGTGTACGATAGGAGCAAGTCTCCAAGTGAGTAAACTGTGACGTGCATACAGAAAATAAACAATAATAAATAACTCATATCTGAAAATATATAAACTCAAGCCGCAAAAAGAACACTAATTCAGATCTGGTGCAGCTTGAAAAAACCCAGATCTGGTACACATACAATCTCTTCTAACCAATTCCTCCATACAATTGTACCTACTTAAATTCCAGGAAAAAAGTTCAGATTTTCATATATAAAATCACCACCCTTCAAATAATTCACATAAAAAACACACAAAAAACAAGCCAAGCTCTTAGAAATCGAAAGAAGGCTACGTTTAGGGTCAGGGTTTCTCGGGTTCTTACCTAAATCCAAGAATTTGAACCACTTTCTTACAGTTCAGCTTGAATTCAATCTCCCAAACAAAACCACTAACCAAATCTTCAACATGCCAAGTTAAAACCGAATTAGTCCTGAATCTCAATAATTTTTCACATCTAAAAGTTAAAATTGAAGAAACCCACTTACATAGATAGGACGCTCACTATGAGAGGATCAGTTTTCTCTATTGGGTCGAGACCCAGTTTTGGCCGAAACTTGGCCGGCGAGTCCGGCTTGGTCGTTTTAGAGAGAACAGAGAGGGAAGAGCCAGAACTAAAAATAAGGAAATATGAAAGAGATAAATATGAAGGATGTGTGTGGGTTAAGGGGAGAGGGAGAGAGAGAGAGAGAGAGAGAGAGAGAGAGAGAGACGGATGGATGTGGGTGGGTTGAGGGGAGTATGATCTACGAAGGGTGTCGTGGGTTAGGGGAAGAGAGAGATAGAGTTGGATGGTTGAGGGCGGGCTAAGGGGGAGTGATAGTGGGGATAATTACGAAGGGTGTCAGTGGGTTAAGGGGGGAGAGAGAGAGTTGGATAGAAGTGGGTGAGTTAAGCGGAAAAGAGAGTGTTGGATGGATGTGGGCCACAAGTTTTTGAAAAAAAATAATAAAGAACAAAGAATTGTGTCTTTAGAAGTAAACTATGGGCACAAATAATATATTAGAGCCATTTTTTAAAATAAAGCTGTCAAATAATGTATTTGTGCCTATTTTTTTTTACAATAGGCACAATCAATGGTGCCCTTCATGAAATGGGAACTGTTTCAGTCTTTTGATGGTCAAACAGGCACAAAATTCTCAATTGTGTCCTTTATTTTGTACCCATAGCTCATTTTTCTTGTAGTGTAACCAAACCTCTAATCTGTTTACATGTGGCACACTCCTATACAACAATTACTATATCATGTATTAGGTTAGGGTTTAGGGTTTAGAGTGTTTAGAGTTTCGGGGGTTTAGGGTATTCCAAATCCAATACAACCTCAAATGCACATGCACTCTTAATCATTGTAAAGATTCGAAAGAAAATCCAATTCCGACCAATCAGAAGGGGGAAAAATAATAGAGAGAGAGAGAGAGAGAGAGAGAGAGAGAGAGAGAGAGAGAGAGAGAGAAGATTCGGTTGTATATAGATTTGAAGAATAAAAAAAAACAAAATAAAAAGATGATGATGATGTAGAACACAGCCAAGAAGAACAAACAAAAAAAATACTTAGACCTAAAAGAAAGGACAAGTAATGGTGCATGGTCGGTCTCATCTCTGAGACTGCCAGAGACTCCACCTGCCATGCATAACTCCCACTCCCAGTCCCAGCACAGCACAGCTAAGCTAATATATGACTCGTCAATGCCTCACCTCACCTCATGCCATAATCACAATGTCGTGTCATGCATCAGGATCTCGTCGTTCTTCAGAGGAGAGGAAGCCTTCAACCGGCAGGCACAGTTGAATTAATTCAAAGGAATCTCTCGAGGGAAAAGGCAGAAGCTAACTAGCTAGCTACCTTCGATAACACTACAGTGGAGCGGAGTGGAGTGGTTTATTATCCACATACAATATATCCAAGTGAAAAAAATTTAAAATTGGACCATAAAATAATAGACTTGGTAGCGAGAGAGATAAAACTAATTGCCATTATAATTATGTAGCCTTGATAGCGCGTTTACTAATCCGTAATCAAATTGAGAGGAATTGAATAGAAGATGAATTAGATTGAGAAGGAATTGAAATGAGATAGAAGCAAAATCAGATTCCTGTTGAAGTTGTTTACTAAAACTGTCCGGAATCGGAATACAATTCCATAAAGCTGTTTACTAATTCAGCAGAATCAGAATATAAACCTGTATGGGTGCGTTTGTTGCACTAGACTATCTCGGACTGGACTAGCTTCAGAGACTAAGCTGGACTGGCTTAGACTAGACTAAACTGGACTAGCTTAGTGAAGCGTTTGATGCAGTATCGGACTAAACAACAGACTAATTATTTTTTATTATTATTTATTTACTTTTGTGTTTAAAAACAACAAAACAACAAATATTAAAATATTATTTGTAGTTATTTAACTTCTAAAAACCTAATTAATGTTTCATGTGCTGCCCTTACTTTTATTTTAGAAGAACAACCTTTATTTTTTGAAGAACAGACCGATATTTCCAAAGCAAATCCTCTATGCTTCTTCATTCCTCTCCACCTCCTGCCTCGTGCCTCTTCACTTCCTCTCACAAAATCGGTTGCAAATCTAAAAGTCAAAAGACATAGCAAGAAAGAGATTGAAGGAGGCGAGGTGCATGTGTGATTGGCTTGAAGGTAGAAGATGAGGGTTGGATTTGGTTTGGGTTTTCTGGGTGAAATTTTCAAGCTCATCCCACTGCAAATTTTTTTTTTTGGTTTTCTGGGTTATCTGGATTCGAATTTTGGGAGTTGGATCTGGTTCTGAAAATGGAACCTTGGGAAATTTTGTTGCTTTTTTGTTTCGGATTTGGCAGGATTTGGGTTTGAAATGGGTTGTGGGATGCGAGGAAGAGGTAGATGGGAGGATGAAGCGGGTAGGAGTGAAGCAGAGTAGAGCGGTCTTAGCAGTCCGCCCATTTTTTTTTGGGGGGGGGGGGGGGGGGGGGGACTCGCTAAGACCCTGTAGCGAAGCTGTTAGTCGGACTCAGTCGAGGCGAGTCTCATTAAACGTAATCCCCACATGAAACAAACACCGGATTACAGTCCAGTCTAGTCCAAAGAAGTTTAGTAAAGCTAAACAAACGGGCCCTATGATTACTAAAATGTCCTTGTCTCAAATCAAATATTTTATATACTTCTTTTAATAAAATTTGATATAGTATATAATAGTAAGAAAAAATTAAATTGCTTTTTTATTTCATAGACATACTAAAATGATTTTGTTTATTTTTTTTATAAATTTAAGTCTTGACTTTAATATCTAAATTTTCTCGCTCAAGTTGTAAATTTTTCTCTTCAGCATATGTATGAAGTTGTGCATAATGTGAATGAGCATAGAATTATGCTTAATGAGCTAGAATGACATGGAAAGAAATTGTTAGGAGCATTTTTAGAAAAATAAATCTAGGGTTAAAAGGATAATTTTGGAAATAATGAAAGTAAGTGAGGGCATAAAGGGAAAAATAATCATTCCGATTGGTAGGGCAATCCGGAATCCAAATACCTTGTATATGTTGGGAATCCAAATCCCCCAATTTCAGGAATTGGATTTCATTTTTTGTGTGGACCCCATGCACTTTTGATTTTTCCAAATTTTAGTAAACATGGGTATAATCCGTAATCGGAATCGGATTCTTTATTCTCGTTCAGATTACGGGTTTATAAACACGCTATGAAAGAGTTGGAGTTTCATATTTTCTTTTTAAGGAATAAGGATAATCTACTAATTTGATTTAAATCTCTCTCGCATTTAAAATACTTAATTTCTACACTCACCCCTCCCAAAGTACTCAACCAAGAACCTTTTTGCTCCATATGTAATATATATGTATGTTCAAATAATAAAAAGGAGACTCTCTCTCTCTGCGCAACAGCCAAATGAAGGGGTTTGGCCAAAAAGCCCCACATGAAGATCATCGTAAATCGCAAGCAAATAAAACAAGGAAAAGGAATAAACATAAATTGAAAATGAGAAACAAAATGACAAAAAGTAACGGTAAAAAAAAAAAAAAAAAAAAAAAAAAAGAGAGAGAGAAAGAAGAGAGTGCGTGTGACATAATTTTGATTACTGAAAATATGACTTTAGCCCCTGAAACTCAAGTTTTTTTACATAAAACCCGACATAGTCTTTTTATCTCAATAAAACCCAATGACTAGGCTCCACATAAGTAAATTCATTAATTTTGTTTGCCTTTACACATTTTTCATTTTTTAGATACCTAAAATACCCCTAATTACCGTTTTGATGTAGACATTTAATTCTATGCATATTTGAAGGGAGAAATTAATAAAAAGAAATGTATTAATGAAGTCGCTATCATTTCAACTCTTGCATTATTGTATGTCGTCTTCTTGACATTAATAAAGTCGCTATCATTTCAACTCAAAAAAAAAAAAATTAAATTAATTATAGAATAAAAATGTTATTTGATTCAAAATAAATTTATCTATATTTTATATGATAATATAGGTAAATTTTTCCACACATATATATTAGTAGTAAAATATGCCCAATATATATAATAATGCATGAAAATAATTCACCAACAAATAAAGGAAATTTGATTAAAAATTAATATATCTATTGCTTTTTGTTTATGAATTTCAATTCTTTTTTTATATTACAAACATAATGTACCTACAATATAATTTACCTATTGTTTAATCTTATAAGAAAATAATGTATCTACTATTTTATTTTATTTATTTATTTTTGTTTTTGTCGAATATGTACTGTTTTATTTTAATGGAGATAATTTGTCTTGGTTTAATTTTTACGAAATTATTTATGCACTATTTAACTTTCCCAAAATAATGGAACTAGTATTTTAATTTACCTACAAAATAAATACTATTTGATTCAAAATTAATTTACTTATATTTTAAATATAAATATAGATAAATTATTTTTAACAAGCATATATGATAACAAACAAAAAATGCCTAATGTATGTAATAATCTAGGTAAAATAATTTACCTACAACATAAAAGAATATTAATTGGTTTTTTGTTGTTTTATAAAACAATATTATTATTTGATGCAAAATAACTGATTGTACAAAGGATTTTTCTTTCCAAACAAAAAATGTGCCCATAAATTGTTTATGAACATAGCTAAATTTATATATATATATATATATATATATATATTCCTAATATTTATCATACAAGAAACGTAAAATTTTCATATGGGGTTAATTGCTAATCATAATTAGGGTGGGTAATAATATTTATTGACATAACTAGAGTTTTGTGGCATAAGTTGTAAATATGTGATGATAATTGGTTACATATTTGTCTACATGGTACTCTATTTGAAATTTGGGTTTTATTTGGAAGTTTAATATTATGTGGGTTTTTGCTTGGAAAATAAGAGTTTCAAGGGCAATCCGGAATCCAAATACCTTGTATATGTTGGGAATCCAAATCCCCCAATTTCAGGAATTGGATTTCATTTTTTGTGTGGACCCCATGCACTTTTGATTTTTCCAAATTTTAGTAAACATGGGTATAATCCGTAATCGGAATCGGATTCTTTATTCTCGTTCAGATTACGGGTTTATACACACGCTATGAAAGAGTTGGAGTTTCATATTTTCTTTTTAAGGAATAAGGATAATCTACTAATTTGATTTAAATCTCTCTCGCATTTAAAATACTTAATTTCTACACTCACCCCTCCCAAAGTACTCAACCAAGAACCTTTTTGCTCCATATGTAATATATATGTATGTTCAAATAATAAAAAGGAGACTCTCTCTCTCTGCGCAACAGCCAAATGAAGGGGTTTGGCCAAAAAGCCCCACATGAAGATCATCGTAAATCGCAAGCAAATAAAACAAGGAAAAGGAATAAACATAAATTGAAAATGAGAAACAAAATGACAAAAAGTAACGGTAAAAAAAAAAAAAAAAAAAAAAAAAGAGAGAGAGAAAGAAGAGAGTGCGTGTGACATAATTTTGATTATTA